ATAGATACATTTTGTGCCACAGCAACTGTGACCGAGTTCAGCTAGTATATCAATAATAAGATTGTGCTAAAACTGTAACGATTGTCATTTCACATGAAAACAAATAACGATGATGGCAGAATAAAAACTGGCATTTCATAGATTTAAATGTCGCATGAATTTAAAGTTTTTGTCGTTTTTCAAATGTTTGCAACACGCAACAACGGAGTGTATTGGAGTAACCGCGCAGAAAAGGTGGCATAAACAAGAAAATAATCCGATAATTGACATAATTTACAGCTACTTTTTTACATTATATTCGTATCACGTTACAGTTTATTCCAGTCACTTACTAATTTTATTTACATTAAAATCAATAAACTTTTAAAATAATAATTAAAAATTACATACGAATTTGTTAAAAGTATTAACTTTAAGGACACCCCTCTTATAATTTGATAAATCTTAAAATGAAGAAAATTAAAATAAATAAATAAAAAATAATTTTCTGACTCAGTAAGTTTACACGTGTTTATCAAACACGTGGCGTAAAGAGAAATTAACAGATGTGCACAGGAGTGTTGCAACTAGAGGATTTGATCCCGGGATCTCGAAAATCGGGATCCGGGGATCCCGACCACTTTTCAGTCCCAAAATTTTCGGGATTAAGTTTTCCTAATCCCGAGATTTTCGGGATTGACATCATTTTAAAAAAAATTGCAAAATAGACTGCATGAAGCGAAACGTTCAGTGCCAGTGCTTTTAACAGAATTGCTTGCCTATCATTTTAATATAAAATACAAGAAATTTTATTCCAAGCAAGCAGCAGAAATTAACCAAGCGGGCTTGCGATGCTTGCTTGGAATAAAACTTCTTGTATTTTCAACTAAAATGATAGGCAAGCAGTTCTCACTGGGTTACTTGGTAATATACTTCATTTTTGTATTTTTGAATTTTCGCGGGCGCCAATCGATTTTCTGGCGCAGTCGAGAGCACTACTCAGTGCGTTTTACCTGTCAATGTGTCAGCCATCTTGTTTTGCCAGTGTAGTTAATATAGACCCGACGCCTCTCGCTTAGGGGGGTCGACCTTAGGTGAAAAGGTTACGACCCTCGCCTTGCCCGCGATCTGTCAGGATGATGCGAGAAAGTCTTTTTACGTTTCGGGGTAGTGGTTTGCTGGACGCTGAGAGACTCACACAGAGACCGAATTTACAAAATTAACGCGTTTATTTTTAGAAAGACATGCTTACAATGATCGAAACAATCGGGATTGTAGCCTTTACTCCTACAATCCCGATCCGTGTCGACCGGACTGTTTTCTTCCATCCTCCCCGTGTCCTCGAAGCTTATAAGTATTTACTAACGATTCCTCCAACTTCCATCAAACCTAAACGCGTTTTCTCAGCAGCTGCATATATGTGCAACAAATTGAGAAGCAGACTTGGTGATGAGACACTGGATGCGTTGTTATTTCTCAGATCATATTTTCGCAATTCAAATTAGAATGTTCCTATTAGATTAGTTTTCTTTATATTTAAGAAAAATGTGACTGATTAATATTATTTTTAAATACTTTTTGCTAAGAAACTTACTTTACTACCTACTTACTAGGTTGTTATATGAAAGTAGTCTATTTAGTCGATGTTAAGAGAGATTTTTGTTAATTTTCAACGTTTATTTGCATAGTTTGTTACATAAAGGTTTTTTCAATTTATGTGAGTTTAAAGAGATCTCAGTGATGCTTAAAAAAGAATAAATTTAACATGAAGACAGTGATTTTAAGTCTGGTTAGTCTGACTGTAAGTCTGATTAGTTAGAGTGATTAAATTAACTAGGTGTATACCGTAAAATACGTTGATTTTTGTCTAAATTTTGATTTTTGATTTCTGTAAGATTTCTTATTTTTTATCCTCAATACCGAAATAATCCCGGGATCCCGGGATTGAATAAGTATAATCCCGAAATCCCGGGATTAGAAATAAGGACCGGGATCGAATTCCCTAGTTGCAACATCAAAATCGGTAACTGTTTAATTTAATAACAAATTAGATGTGAATACGTAGCTTAATTTTAATAGAACTATTAGGAACAATCTGATTTTTATTTTTTCAATTTAATTAAATTTTTATTTTGAAAAGTTGTTAATTAACTTCAATTTAAATTCTATTTCTATAAACGTTAATATTTCAAGTAAACCAACATTTAAAAGAAAAGTTGGTCAAAATTCGTCATTTTTTCCAATCTAGATTATTTGTAACAAAAACATTTAGTTTTTCCTGTTTTTTTAATATTTAATACACTGAACAGGCAAGTTGACGATTTATAATATGTATATTAAGTATAGTCTACGTCATGAAATGTTATTTTTGACTTACTAGTGCAAAATGTTCAGGACTTATTAATGTAACTAAAGATACGTAAAATTTTCACATTATACAAAAAATACACAAATAATTTGCAAAAATAATATAAGAAATTTATTGTCGAACATGTGATGCCTGCTTCGATGACCAACGAGTATGGGGGATTTGTAGCGGTAATTATATTTGTGGAAAAATCTTCATAGGATAGCATATGGTTAGGCCCGTCGCGAGTAGTGAGCTGGGGTTATTCTCGAACTCTAAAAAAACTTAGATGCCAGTATAGTCCTACTCCTATAAATTACAACTTTTAATCACTAACAAACTTGTTACTTATTACTAACAAAAAGAACAAAATTTTAACACTGCTTTTCATTACAAAAACAAATATTATAAACAAAAATTTTTGTCATTTCTTTCGTTCAAAAAATAACTAAAGGGTTTGGTCAGGCGAAAGTCCTCGTACAAGCTCTTGACGTCCCTACATGTAGGTACTAAAAGCATATAACTTTCGTGTGATAATTAATACTAAGCTGGTCTAGCTTTAGTTATTGAACAACAGTACGATTTTTATTCTCAACGATGCATTAAACATTCGTTTAACAAATTAATCTTAAATGAATATTTGGTTAGAAAATTTTCTCATAAATTAATGATTGTTTTATCTTATTGTTTTCCTCTCGCATTTAAAAATAAGAATAACAATTATTTATCTAGTTATTTAAGTAAAACACTTTTTTCAAGTAGAAAAATTGTAGAGCTATAAATTCCCACTCTCGTCGGCCCGTCTGATTGTCTTTCCTTAATCTCAACAACGGAGTTAGATAGTTGAAAGACGAGGCACTCTCTTCTTTCATCTCGCGTACATAAGATAATCGAATTTAAATTTATTTAATTGTTTTTGTAATTTCATTAGTTTTGGTTTTATAAATTTGTCTGCTTTTAAATATTTTATAAAATTTTAATTGTAATCGAGTTAAGATTATTTATACTAATGGACTACCAAGTTTTACACGAACAAATAATACAGTAACTTTAATCAAATATACATTTTAGTCATAATGAAAAATAAAATAAAGATCACTTTACGTTTTATTTTCTTTTCATTTATTTGTTTTGCTAGTAACTATAAATCATGGAAATTTAACAATCGTTTATTTAAGCAAAAATTTCTATTTTTATAAACAACGTTCTCTTTGATTTTTGCAACGTTTTCTTTTTTTTTTTTTTTTAATCTATTTCCACTTTTTGGAAACTTATCTCATAGTTTATAAACTTTTTTTTATTTTACTAAGATTAGTTCTCTGAATTTAATAAAAGACATTTGAAAATGTTATAAAGAAACGCTTTTTACTAACATAAATGCATTAAAAAGTAATATAAATAAATCGTCTTCAGGTTTTACAGTGTTCTTGGTAAATAAAAGTGTTAGGAACTCGTGGGAAGTTCATAAAAACCGATGCAAATTATGACTAAGAATATTTATATACACTTTCATTTCAATATTTATATTCACTTTCACATACACTTTCATTACATACACATATACATTATATACTATTTATATACGTTTCATTTTGACTAAAAAGTCAAAAATAAACGAAAAAACGTTTCTTTAAAACTTTTAAAAATTATTTATGTTCTACTTTTTCATTTTATGTCTGTAACCCTGACTTATAAAAATTCTTCTTGTTTTAGGATTTAATTGAGAAGAAGGTGAAAAGTTAAGTTACCCGATTTTATTTCGATAGTACAGTCAGTACAATCAAAAAGGGAAAACCAGTTATTTTACTTTTTGTGCCATTTATTATCAGATTTTTACAAATTTTAAGTTTTCGCTATTGTACATATACAGTATGTATACATACAAATACACACGAGTGCAAAATTTGAAGTAGATCGGAAATTGGGAAATGAATGAAAATTGAAAGGCAGACGAAAGAACAGACAGAGTAATTTAACAAAAATCTTACAAAAATGTTTATTTCTTTTTCTTAATAAGTTGTACTTATTTTCTGCAACCTTCACTTAAATAGAGATAAAGTGTGTAACATATTGGATGTAGTACTTTTAATTTTTTTCATTGATATTAAATATTAATAGCATATTAATTTAAGAGATAATTATAATCTATTTTATAAAATTTTGTATAGTTGTAAGCATATAAAAGTATAAATTGTAAGCAGAGTTTAAAATCTCCTACTCATTAGAGCCAGTCTCCTATTAACGCCACATCTGCGCTTGTCAAGAATTCGAACTCAGAGGTCACAAAGGGGGAGGAATGGGGATAGAGCAGGAAAGGTCTTCACCTTTCTCCGTGCACGTGTGGGAAACGGGCGTAAAATTTATCTGTGCTTGTAATTACCTTTCTTTTTAGTTCAATCATTGTATTCTTAACTTTTGGGATGTTACATAAATATTCCGAATCCTAACACAATAAAAATTACAAATTATTTCTCGTAACGTTTTTGGGAGGATCAAGTTATCCTCATCGATAAATATTTAATTAAAACCTTTAAAGTAGAAATAGTAGTTTGAAATGACGAATAAATAAATCGCTCCAGTGGATACTATTACACATTGGTTAGTCTAAACGAGAATGCCTCACAGCGTGTGACGTAACAAAATAGATACTATAATAAATCCACACAACAGATGAAGCTGCATTTTCACCTACACAACTGTTTGATAAATTACGCATAAATATGAAATATTCTGCTGTTTGTTTTCTCTTTTTATGCTCGAATTTAATAATTTGTTCCACGTCATCGTTTATCGAGTCGAGGGTGCTCGAAGTTGATCCGGACGCAAACAGAAATGTGGTAAATTTAAAATTTACACGTTTTATAATCTTTCAATATATATATATATACATATTTGTTAAGTTTAAGTTTATTTTTATATTTGATATAGACCGAAATAATAATCAGCAGAGGTTATCCAGTGGAAGAATATACGGTCCAAACGAAGGATGGCTACCTTTTGAAACTATTTAGAATTCCCTATGGCCGAAAAAGTCAAGTACAAAACACCAAAAATCGTCCAGTAGTGTTCCTGCAACACGGTCTTCTGGGATCTGCCACTGACTGGGTGATCAACTTCCCTGACCAGAGCCTTAGTAAGTCATGTTTTTCGAGGATTGATCTGTTTCAACGACTAAAACCTTTAAATTAGAAATGTATGGCTTAAAATTTAAATAATCGTTTACATATAAATTTCTAATTAATTATAAAAGTATAATGGTATTTGAGGCGAAACGTTAGGAATGCCTGTTCTATGTGACTTACAGAATTATGTTATTTTTGAAATTCTGTTCGATTGATTTTGATTAAACTGTCATTTTCCATTAATTGAAGCGAGGTATCCAAAAATGTAATAAAAATTGGAGTAGGATATTGTCGGGTAGTATCGGCAACCTAAGTTTCTCTTATATTATAAAAAATTTTACAACTCAATTGGTCCAGATTACATTCCATAAAAAATTTCATTGTCTTATAAAAACACCTGTTAAAACTCATTTTTCGAAGATAAAAATATTAATTTTTCAACACTTTTTACAGTCATTGCATTTTTACCAAGTTTAATTTTGTAGGGTGTAGCGGACATGAGAAAAATCTGCAAGAAGACAATAACTTTTGGTTTCACAAACAACTTTTTATTATTAGATACAGTTATTATTGAGAAATTTATAAAAATACAAATTACAGATGGTAAAACTAAGTTATTACATGATAAGAAAGTTGTATAAATGAGAAAAAATTGTCAATATGAAAATTTAACAATTTGTTTTAATGACAAATGCATTTTGTGTTTATTTTTTTTGATAATGTAAACATGCCATTCATAAAAATATTTGTTTCCTTCAAGATCAGCGCAATTTTTGTGAGCCTAACCTGTACAAACTGTACATTGAATCCAGTTTTTTTGAAAGGTTTCACCACAGATGATGCAGTGAGTCTTTTGGTCTTCTCTCTTTTCTTGAACTGATTTAGGCCTATCTACTGTCGCTTTCTTTGTTTCACCTTATGTTCCCCAGCAGCTTTCCCTTGGCTGCATAGAGTCTTTCTTTTTCTTCTTTCTTTTATTTATTCTGTCGTAGTTTATCCATATTGTCTCATAAAACAAAAACATTCCGTGAGAATATAATTCTTATCAATTTTAAACTGTTTCCGATACAACCCGAAACATCATAGAACAAACCATTGGTTACAACATACGTATTAGTAAGCTTAAGGAGATTTCCGGCCTACAAGATTAAGAATAATAAATGTTGTTTTCAACAATAAACAAAAACAACTTATTCTCATTTTCAGACAAGCTATGACAACCAGAAGTCATCTTCGTTCACACAAAACATTATTAAAACTACCAAATTTTCTGCCACATCTCAACAAAACTACTGATTGACTAAATATGGCGGGAATCTGAACTTTCTTTATTCACCAACATGCTGGTATCTTCACAGATTCTGCCACTTGCAGCAAATGTTATAAACGCTCTTGCCGGATACTATCCGCCGTCCGATACTACTTGACCTTTTTCTACGTGACATCGTTTTCGAAATATAAAGTCGTAGCACTGTGAAGTAGTCGAATCATGCATAAAGGGAAAACGGAAGAGAGGTACCGATACGGAATGTGAGCCTGGTAGACACCGCGTCAGACTCCACAGTTACAAAGAAAATCGTCTTGATTTATTTAAAACACAAAAACAACAAGCTTACAGCAATTATATTCTTAATATCTCTGCAAGTGAACACTGTAAATTTTCTGGTTCTTTTCCAAGAGAGAATCCTGAGAGAAGGATTTATTAATTTTCACTTTTGCTCTGGAGCGATGTTGTTCAGTCAGACCCCGTAGAAGATGAGGTCAATCCTTATAGAGTCCTGCATGAGGCGGAGAATTCCATTAAGTAAGATCTTGCACTATGAGAAATTCGGAGGGAGAATATATCTGTGTCCGTGAAATCAGTTTTTATCATATTTGGTCCCAGACAACTACTTCGAAAAATTAGCTTTTCTTATCCCCACTTTCTAATTGGTCGTCACTCGTTACTAAGTGTAACGAGATCTGAACCCAGATAGCGGGATGAGGCGAAACGCACATGTAATTCGTTCCCAACCGGAGTTAGTTGATATTAGGACTTTACATTGCCTAGTTTCCCTTTGTCTAATTTCTGAGAAAAGGTTTTTTTAATCTTTCTCTATTAAATTTAGTATTTTCTTTTATAGGCAAAAAACTGTATTTTACAATATTAAAAAATGCAGTGGTTTTTAGATTTCCGAATGTAGATCCGAATGTAGTTCCGAAGACATTCCAGAACCTCACAGCACGAGTGCCCACAACAAAGCGATATCGCACAAATTGCGGCACTTTACCGTGTGATTTTCCATTGTCGCTAGCGCGTTTTATAGGCTTATAGAGTGGAGTTAGTTCTCGATATTTAATGAGGCGAGTTTGATAAAACTTTGCTATTTTTCATTATTGTAATGAGGTACCCAAAAATGTAATGAGGATCCGTTTAAATGCAAAAATACGAGTCCATGTCTTCGTTTTCGATATATACAGTAGACCTATTAAAGCAGAATTTACCCACGCAGGGTTGGTCGGTATGACCCGTTAAGGGTCGACGAAAGTTTGAGAAAGTCGCAAATATAAAAAATTATTTCATAATTTTACACATGTTTTCGCTCTTAAATAAATGTGATAAGTTTTTTTTTTTTTTAGTTATCGAAGAGGAGATGGCGCATATATTATACAGTAAATAACGTAATATTGAAGGAAATCACCAAACAAAATTCTTAAAAGAAATTAGTACAAGAAAACAGTTGGGAACCATTGTATTTAAGTGACTCTGATATGACTGAACGCGCCTAAAGAAATTTATGCCTAGGGGTCAAACATAAAAACAGCATTGCGGGTACGTAACGAAAAATAGGCGCGAAACACGAACAAAAACCAAAATCAAACAATCCTTTGCGATTCATTTGTTCTCGAATCGCCTCTTTGTATCGGAAAGTACTTTTTTTTTAACTCTTTCCGCCCTGTGGGCATTAAGAGACCCTCTTTTTGCAAGCCCATTATGGGTTCGGCCAGGCCCACAATGGGGCTGCCGGATGGTGAGGGACGGGGCCCGTCATATCCGAACGGATTACCCCCCGGAAAAATTCCTGGGGATTTTTCGATCCGTTCGGATTCGAACCGGGTCCCCCAGAGCAGTAGGCTGCCACCTTGGCCTATCGGGAAGTACTGTATAGTACATCTGTTTGTGTTTGTCAGATACAAAGATCTCCTCTTCTATGCCTAAGAGATAGCTTCTATCTTTCCCGCATCGCTTCAATTCTAGCGCGATGTCCTAGTGTAACAATATACAGATTATCATATTGTTTGTGTTCTAAACGGGTACAGGTTCGCACGTAGTTTTGCACACGTTCGAGTAAATTCAACTAAAATAAAGTCAATAAAAAAAATCATTGCTTTAATTCTAATACTATTTCTTATTGAAGAGAATATTAATTCTTGTAACGTTCTGTACTTTTCAATAATTAAAATATTTTGTTAAATTATGGTAGGTTATATCTTCGCTGACGAAGGTTACGATGTCTGGATGGGAAATCAGAGAGGGAACACTTACGCCCGAAAGCATATCAAATATTCGACCGAAGAAGACAAATTTTGGGATTTCAGGTCAGTAAAAGGCGAACTTGCGAAATCTTTGTACATGAATTTAAAACGTTTCTTTGTAGTATTGACGAACATGCCAAGTATGATACACCGGATAGTATAGACTTTGTCCTAAACAAAACAGGACAAAGTCAATTATATTATGTGGGATTTTCGCAAGGTAACATGATAGTCTATGCATTTCTCTCCGAGAATCCCGAGTACAACAAGGTAAGAAATGTGTCCACTTACGTGCACACAGCTTTTACAACTTATTTAAAATTAAAATATTGAATTTTCCAGATCAAAGCAGTACTTTCTCTAGGTCCAACGGCATGGCTCGGTCATATTAAGAGTCTTCCTCTTCGTCTATTAGCTCCTTTTACTAGTGAAGCTCAAGTGAGCATTATGAATAATAATGTTCCTGGAAAAATTATGGAATCACTTTCTCATTATGTTGTTTTTATAGTGTTTTAAGCACTTAGCAAAGAAATAAAATAAGCAATTGATGCTGTTGGAAAAAGGCACAATGAACATTTATTTCAACGAAACATTTACACAACAGCAAAATGGCGAACTTCGAACACTCCAAAACTCCAGCGTTCTAAATTCTATTTAAAATCAAACAACTTCCAAATCGAATGCTACCTGGCAAAATTGTTATAATTCTCAATAGATGCAAAATATCTTTTTATTAGGCCTAATAGTCAAACCTTTTGACTGCTTTAATTATGACTTAAAGAATCGAAATAACAATACCTTGTATATAAATTAAACAGTAAATGAAATGAACCTCAGCAGAATAATTGAAAATCATTCTGTAAACACCTTTTTGCATCTGGGATTCCGTTTATTTAGCAAACGTTTTTATCCTAGTCTAATAGGCTATCCTCAGGCTATAATTTTTTGAAACATCTTAACCGTTAAATATTGTTTAAAAATAGAATATAATAAAAGAATAACAATTTTTAAATATTTGAATATAAAGCTAAAGTAACTAAAAATTAATATAAATAATAAAATAGTAGTAGAATGTAAAATAAATAAATAAAAGTATACAAAAATATATAGCCTAGTAGAAATGAGGTAATAATTATGGTCTTCCAAGACACTTATTTTTTTTACAATGTATTACCATGCCATTGTGAACTGTCCGCATCTGTTGCATTATCTTTCAATCTGCGTTTGTATATTTCAAGTTTTTTTAACGTTTTATGCTTATGTAAACCTAAAACAAAAAAACAGCAAATCTAGTGGAATCATGAGATTCACTTTTAACAGAGGTATAACTAACATCATGAAAGAAATCGCAGAACGTAAAGGGTCCAATATGATAGTAAAAACTACCCCAACTATGTATTGATTTTTAACAAACGATAAGGATAGATTAGAAACAGAAGAAATGGCAGATGTGTACAGAATACCGCATGATACCATGCAGTTAAGAATAGACAATGTTTACATCGATGTCACCACAAGAAACTTGAAAGTTAAACTCAAGGAACATCAACATAACGTAAGAAAAACATCCAGTAACCCGGTACTCTCCAGGATGACGCAGACTGAAAGCTCGGTGATAAAATAAAAAGTGGCAAATATCATTAAGGCTATATATGAATACTCCCCTACATCATCACAGAACGCTGAAAAACTTAAAATATACACGCGCAGGTTGAAAGATAATGCAAGAGATGCCGATAGTTTACCAACGGCATGAATATATATTGTAAAAAATAAGTTTGTCGGAAGCCATAATTATTCCATTTTTACTATATATTTTGTATACTTTTGTATTATTTATTTTACATTTAACTGTTATTTTATTATTTATATTAATTTTTAATTATTTTTTCTTTATATTCAAATATTTAAAAATTGTTATTATTTTTTTTTCTATAAAATTCCAGTTTTAAACAATATTTAACGGTTAAGATGTCCCAAAAAATTATGGCCTGAAGATAGCCTATTAGACAAGGTTAAAAACGTTTGCTAAATAAAAGCGAATCCCAGCAGCCAAAATGGTGTTTACGGAATGATTATAAATTAAACACGTTATTTTTTGTTTTTACTTTTACATGCAGGAAAACATTTTTGAATCACATAAAATTAAAGTAAGGTTATGTACGGGATTAAGCAATTTAAAAAAAATTAATTAATACATTTTTACACTGCAAGGTTTAGACAATCTTACTTCTAGTATAATTTGCTTCTTGTTTCAAAGACTATATTAATTTTCTATTGGCTATTAATATGCCTTAAACCCAACCTTATCATAACGACTACAAATGAATTTAATGTGATGGTTTATTCATGTAATTTATTTATTGACTTTAATCTGTATTTAGGATGTATAAAGTCATCCCTGTTCAGTTGGTTACAATATTATATAGTATTAAGTTAAAAAGTTAAGCGAAGAAACAGTCACTTTGAAGTCATTTATGGTCGTAATAATAAGCTTGAATTTAAGGCATATTAACAACCAATAGAAAATTAATGTTAGTTTTTTTTTCAGTCATTGATTTCACTCATGAAAATAAAATTCTTTTCGAAAGCTTTCCATTTTCACCGAACAGTAGTCAAGACACTCGATTTCCATACAGAACTTTGTTCTGGACCAGTTTCTTAAATTTTCATCACATGTTTTCTAACAGATTTAAAAGTCTACTGTTTGCTGAACAATGTATTATGTCGGTGCAGTGTTGGCGAGAAAATTTTAATAGTTGCAACCGCATGAAAAGATACTTTGTCATCTTGGAGTATGACATCATCGCCATCCAACATGTTTTCAATGGATGGAATAAAAATGTTCACCAAAACGTCAACGTATGTCTGGGCATTACGTTGCCATTTTGATATAGCGATGGTCAGGTCAGCTCTCCCTGTACTTTACCTGACACGAAACAACATAAGTGAAATAGGAAATTTGTCGATTTCTTCAGGTTCTTATAAGCTTCGTTAGAACGGCTTGAGACTAAACTTCCAGCGTCACCTCGATACCGATGCAAATTCGTGAGTTATCACTAAATATCTCTTTCATTCAGTACTACAGTTCACGATTGTTTTTCTTTAGCCATTGTAACCTTGTTTTCTCATGTTTTGTGTCTGAAGTGCTGTCGTTTCGCTTTTGTTTATAAATGTACCATTTCTTTGAAATTAATTTTTACTTTTCTCTCATAAGCCCTAACACCTACTTCTTTTCATTTGTTATTCATCCGTTTTGTCGTACATTTCTTATTTTTAAGAGACATTGCTGTTAGTTTTATATCCTAACACGTTAATATTTTTCATGGTTGACCAGTTTCCTTTCCTACATTCTCAATTCTCAATACTTGCAGACCAGTTTTGATACAGTTGACTGTAAACAGTTTGCTACTTTTCAATAGTCGTTGCTAAATTTCCTTCCTTAAAGAACTTTACGATTCTATTAAACGATTCCTTCTAATATTTCGTTGGATAATTCCATTGTGTTGGTGCAATGATTTTGTTACAATAACAGAAAAGTGGGGTATGTGAGTTGCTTACACACATTTATTTTATATTCGGATTACATATTGAACAATATATCAATATATATAATATTAATATTTTATAAATATATAACGATTCTCTGTTTTATAATTTCAAAATTTTTCCTGTATGCGGTGTTATACAATTGTATAGAAATTAAATATATAATATAGAAAAACGCATGGCCATTAATACAAAGTTATTCTGTATCAATTGCTTGTTTTATTTCTTTGCTGCATGCTTAAAACACTATAAAAACAACATCGTCATGAAAAAAATTCCGTAATTTTTGCCAGGAGTCGAATAAAATATTTTTCGATTAAAGATTTTAACTTAAGATTGGTTCAGTTTTTATATTCCGTTCTAGGACACAAAGAATTTTTACCAAACGATTTTATTACGAAACTATTTGCTCAAACTGCCTGTAATGTTGATGTCGTAAGGTCGATATGCTCCAATATCTATTTTCAAATAAGCGGATATGACTTTTCTCAACTAAATGAGGTATGATAAGATAGATTGTAGCGAATATTTAAAATTATCTTATGTCTAATAAATTAGATTATTTCAGTCTCGCCTAGATGTCTACTTTTCTCATTTTCCTGCGGGAACATCTACTAAAAACATAATCCACCTTGGACAGGTAGGTTATGTTGTTTAATATATGGAGGAAATTAAAATATAAATAATTGAAATAATTTAAGCTTATCGTAGCTGGTAAATTCAAAAGAATTTCAGAAGTACTATTATGGGCTATTAGAAAATTTAAAGAAATACAAACAGGTAAGGAGAAAATTTTCTCTTCGATATTTAGATCTTCATCCGTTTATGCGATTGTGTTTATCTTTTAGGTTCAGCCACCAAAGTATGATGTTCGAAAAATTAAAACTCCAATCGGACTTTTTTGGAGTTTGAACGACCTTCTGGCAAATACTGAAGACGTGGATATACTTCGAAAGAACCTCCCGAATTTGATAGTCGATTATCAAGTACCGCTAGAAGAATGGGGCCATCTAGATTTCATGTTTGCAAAAGAAACAAAGAAATATGTTTATGACGAATTACTGCGAGAATTAAAAAGTATTTAGAAACTTTCTTTGTATATAAAATAATCCACTTGTCAGTTATGTTCTAATTCAATGCATGTTTAACCAGTACTAAATATTTTTTGTTCGTATAAAATTTAACATTATATAATTTGGATGTGACTAAAATTTTACGGTTTCGGTTCCGGTAAATTTCCGGTTACTTTTACCTGCGTGTTATTAGATCACGATGACTGAGAGTTTAGTGGATTTGACCATTCTGTAATCAATAAAATAAAAATATATAATAAATTAGTAAGTTATGTTTTGTTGTTATTCATAACTGTTAGGATGTCATTTAGTTTTAATAGGAATGCCCGAATAATTGCGAAGCAGACTATATTATCATTAACTTCGAATTATCTGTTAATATCGTGTTGTAAGAGTGACATTTTGACATTTTGAAAAAACAATTGGTTGGCAATTAACTTAAAATCGACAAAAATTCAGTCTTCCCGGTAATCACCATCAATATCAATTACACATCACCACTTTTTATGTAAAGTTTCAATGTCGTATAGAATGACTGGGGTTTTTCTTTAAAGAAAATGTCATTTAACCGTACTGTATTTTGTCAATATGACTCTGCAAGGTGTAAACTTATCATAATTATATTTTTAGTATTTTAGGAGTATTATATTTTAATAGATTACAAATATAATTATCCACTCACATCAAACGACTCCTAGAAATTTAACTCCTCTTTACATAAATCGATTCCCATTGGCATTTGGGAATCGATGCAGAGCAGAGTGGAATCCTCTGCTATGTGTTAGGATGTTATGAATCTAATTTTATAATAATAACTGTATTATACTAAACTTTATGCTAAAAGAGAATTCCTTTGAATCTACTGTGCCTGTATAGTACGTGCCGTGTGACAATGTTATGTGCCGTCAAATGACATCATTTACAGGTGTTCCCTACAACAAACTCTCACTCTATTTCTATTCATATTTCGGCAGAATAATGGCATTTTATCGCATTTAATTTCGATTATTATCACTTAATTTATAGTTTGAAAATTAAGAAAAATTAATGTATGGTCTGTAAAATCGTATCTTTACTAATTCTTTGGAATATAATTAAAAAAAAAATTCATTTAATGATATGTTTATATTAAATATATTCAAAACGATGTCAGGTAAAATAAAATTGACAGATGTGCACGAAATGCAGCAGTTTCGTTCTGCGTAAATATCGAATATAGGCCTAAACATTTTAAAATTAAATAGTAATTATAATATTAATAATCTTCGACTATCAAAATTTAATGAAGAAACTGTTGTTACATCGCACGCCTATTTTTATAACGGGAACAAGCTCGAATTTTGTACAGACTTAATTTTTTTATTGATTTAGTACTAATATGTAAAATGGTATAGAGCAAAATTATAAGATATTTTTAAATATAGAAAAGAGACAAAAAATATTCAAAGAGCAAAGTTCAATTAGGCATAGTCGGTGTAATAGGCAGCTCGTGTGTTACACCCAGCGGCAGCTGATCAGAAGCTCACACCAGAGAATGATGAAACGTCCAGCATAGCCTCGAAGTTGGTAAGAGAAGAATCGGATGTTTTTGGAGAAAAAAAACAGCGGGTCTTGGGGAAGATCCCTGTGTTCCCGTCAGCCTTACATCATCGTGAACAATATATCTATTAACATTTTTGTAATTTAGTTACTTGTTTAGTAATATTGGCATACTCGTAATATGTATGTACATATGAAAAAATGGTGATAAAATGCTACGCAAATATTCTTTATTTGCAAGTTAAGCGCAATGCCTCCAGATATATTTAACAATATAACAATAATAAGATTGTGCCTAAAACTGTAACGTTCGTCATTTCACAAGGAAACAAATAATGATTATGGCAGAATAAAAACTGGCATTTCATAGATTTAAATGTCGCATTTGAATTTAAAGTTTTGTCGTTTTTTAAATGTTTGCAACTCGCAACAATGGAGTATATTAGAGTAACCGTGAAAAACAAGTGGCATAAACAAGAGAAAAATCCGATGATTAACATAATTTACGGCTACGTTTGAATACAATATATTCGTATCACGTTACAGTTTATTCCCGTCACTCACGTATATTATTTACATTATAATTAAGAAACTTTTTTGCTAATAGTTAAAAATTACATACGAATTTGTTAAAAGTATTAACTTTAAGGACACCCCCCCTTATAATTTATATGCCTTAAAATGAAGAAAATTAAAATAAATCAATAAAAATAATTTTCTGACTCAGTAAGTTTACAGGAATTTATCAAACAAGTGGCTTAAAGGGAAATTAACAGATGTGCACAGAAAACGAGTGTTGTAATATCAAAATTGGTAGCTGTTTACTAACAAATTAGATGTGAATACGTAGCTTAACAATAGCTTAATCAAATTACTAAGAATATTCTGATTTATGTTTTTTGAATTTAATTACAGTAGACCCCCTATAACGTGTAGAAACGTTCCACGTTATACGAATTTCACGTTGTAAGAATCTTTAAATACATGAGCCAATCGCAGCCCGACACGTGTGAAGTTTACGACTACGGCTGTTTGAAAGGTTTTCTTCCATAAAATTAATCAATTCTAGACTAATTCGACTCAACATTTCCAAAACACGTATAATTTTTTGGCAATAATCCGTATAAACTATGATATAAACAAAAAATTGTAGGATTACTTACCGAGTGTGCACCGTTCGACGTCGACATTGCTTAAGCTTGTTTTCGTAGCGGAGCAGCGCACCAAACGGAGGCCGCGATTTCTGATAAGTTATTTTTCTGCGAAAAATTCGTTGAACTTTGGAGACATCATTAATAGAAATAATTTTTATGGTCGTTGAATAGGAAATGTTTCTTTCACAAGAAATGTATAAAATTACAGTACTGTATTAGACTTACGGTACCTAATTTATATACTGTACAGACGATAGTAAACTCAACTTACTCGCCTAAACTCTCCGTAGCGTGGCGCTAGATGACGGAAAGTATATATATAATTATAATAAAGTTACAATAAATTAAGTTAATATATAATTATATATACAGTACTTAATTTATATATAATTAATATATAATTATATGTACAGTACCTAATTTATATATAATACTGTACAGACGATAGTAAACTCAATTTACCCGCCTAAACTCTCCGTAGCGTGGCGCTGGACGGCGGAAAGTAGTTCGGCTGCTCGTCCACTATTGGTCCAGATTCGACCAATCTTGTCGAGACACGAGTCGGCGACGACGTTTTATGAGTCCCTTTTAGCGTCTTTATACGAATACTGTCGCAATTTTTTCGCCAGGTTATAGGAATCTCCGTTATAGGAACACGCATTATAGGGGGTCTACTGTAAATTCTCATTTTGAAAAGTTGTTAATTTCAATTTGTACTCTGTTTCTATAAATGTTAATATTTCAAGAAAACCAACGTTTAAAAGAAAAGTATGCACTAACATATTCTTGGGCGGTTTTATGCAATTATTACATATTTGATTTTTGATCAGATTTTAATATTTTCTGCCTGGAAACTATGAATAAAGTGAATGATCCTGTAATCTTTGTTCTTGTTTTAACGTTTTTTCGGTAGAAATATCGGATAAGATGAACTGGAAGACCGTAATACGAGAATTTTATTTCTTACTTACAAAATAAATTAAACTAATAATAATAATAATAATAATCTTTATTTGGCGTAAAAGGCTTTCGCCTGTTACAAGGGCGTTTTATTTTAAAAAAACGCGTATTAACTTCTCATATAATCACGTCTCAACAACATTGATATATTCTATTTACTGATCTATAGAATTACATTAGTATTTTGTCACAATTATCATTTAATAAGTTGTTTAACGTAGTTATATAACATATAAATCGTGTTAGTATTAGCTCTTTCAAAAGTCTTATACATTTTCATCTCACTAGTACAGTTAGCCAGCGGCCCCATCTGCAGCCTGTGTAGTTTATCGTTTTCATTATAGCATTTACATATAATATGAACTCTAGATAAAATTTTGTTTCAATTTGGACATTCAGATTGGGTATAATCTATAGGCCTATATATATCATTTATAATTATTTCATTTTTATTTAACCTAATGTGTATAAAAAACTTTTTGATGTTAAAAGCTAGATTTGTCAATATACAGTATATTTATTATTTACTGGGTAATTTAAAATTGTTGTATACGAGCTTATGTTTTGCCGTTTTCGTATATCTTCAATGTCTTGAACAATGGAGAACTCCATAGCTCTGTATATTATTTCTTTACTATACTGCTTCATATTATGTGTACGATCCAAAAACAATTTAATAGAGAATCCGTATTTATTTATTATCTTCGATAGCTGTATTATCTAACTTTGTCTTAAGTCCGTTTCCCTTGATTTGTGATATAATAAAAACAGCAATTTTGTTGTTATGTCTTCTGCCTTAATGATTTTTTATAAAAACATTAAATATCTTTTTATTAATATAGTATTTAGTCTAAATCTATTTGTTTCTAAACTTAAAGCACTGCCCGGGATATTAAATTCTAGCTGGAATATCTTGCGTATAAATATATTCTATATTTTTTTCAAAGTCATTAAATTTATCCATACTCCAAACTGGGGCACCATAGCCCATTGAATTCATCACAAGCGAATTAAAAAGTTGAAAGTGTGTTCGTAAGTTCTTTAGTTTTGCCTTACAGAATAGACCAATTAAGTTATTTATTGCAATTTTTGTTTTATTTAGTGAATTTTTTAATGTTTCTCAAACGAAAGGTTTGGCGTAAATGTTATTCCTAAAAATTTTAGTTTCTTAACTATCTTCACTTCTTTTTTCTTAATAAAAAAGGACATGTGCTTTTTGGATACATTACTACCGTTTCTGAATATCATTATTGTTGATTTATTTGGATTTATTTTAACTCAACTTTTCTAAGTACTCACAAATTTGTTGGATCTTTCTACGGAGCGCAGCTGCCGTAGAAGCTACCAGCACAATGTCATCAGCATATGATAGCTGATATGGTCTGATTTTCGATTTGTATACCATCTTCGTCTCTTTCAAAACAATTATTTAGGTCAAATAGATAAAAATTGAAAAGATATGGGGACAACGGATCTCCTTGTAATAGTCCTATGTAAGTAATAAACGGTGTCCAGATATTTGTATTTTGTTTAATGATTGTCTTATACAGTATTTTCCAAACAGCAACCCTATCA